CCGTGCCTGCGTGTCGCGGGAGGCCCTGCGTGGGAGGCAGACCCGGGCCTCCCTTCGGGGCGATCTCAGCGTCCGTTTTGCCGAGCTGGGGAGCTGTGCTCAGCTACGTTGCCTGTCCGAGCCTTTCTGCCCTGTCCTGGTTGCTGGCGTCTCTTCAGGGCCCGGCCGGAAGGTCATCCTTGCAGGGTCCTTCCGGCTGCCCTCCTGAGCAGCCCTTCCAGTGCTCTTCCCAGAGCGTGCTCTTTTTCCGTGAGAGTGGGCCACGCGAACACAGAGGGTGACATCCGTGGAGGAAAGTGTCCCGTCATCCCAGGGCTGGGTCCAGCGTCTAGCGCGGTGTCAGGAAGTACGGGTGGGCCCCAACCTGTGGTGGGGCCTGCCTGTCCCTGTCTGGGTGTGTGTGCAGGATGTGTGTTCACTGGCCGGTGTTGACGTATCTTGCCACGTGTGCAGCCTGTCTCACGTGGGAAAGGCCCACTTGCTGGAACCCGAGTGAGGGCTGGACCTGCCCAGCAGCTGTAGGGCCCGGTCCCTGTGACGCCAGCCAGGCTTGCCTGGAGTGGGGCCGGGCCATGTTCATGGGTGGGTGCAGTCCCACACTCTGTCTCTCTTGCAGCCCAGAGCTCTGGAGCTGTGGAAGGCATTCTGGACCAGGAGAACAAGCGAATGGCTGACAGCTTGGCCTCCAAGGTCACCAGGCTCAAGACGGTCAGTGGTGGTTCTCCTCTCTTGCCGCCCCTGGCGCCCTTGGGGAGTGGGGATCAGAGGGAGGACAGAAAGCCTAGAGGGGCTTTGGGCAGTTTTCTGTCCTCGTCGGGTTCAAGGCTGGGGTTCGCTGCATGAGGCCCCAGGGGACACCTGGACCTGAGGGACCTCTGCCGGGGACATTGTGTTGGCAGGATTTGGCTGGTGTGGGGAGGATGAGTGCTGCCTCCGACTACCCTGGCCCGACCCTGTCCTCTCTGTCCTGACCAGTTGGCCCTGGACATTGATAGGGATGCAGAGGACCAGAACCGGTACCTGGATGGCATGGTAAGGGTCTGCAGTGTGCACGAGTCGGTCAGCTCTGCCCCAGCACATCCCGCTCTGCAGGCCCCCAGTGTCCTTTCCTTGGGTGCTGGGGTGGGCGGGTGGCCAAATCACCACTCCCATGTGTTCTTGCTGGGATTCCTCCCGTAGGACTCAGATTTCACAAGCATGACCGGCCTGCTTACAGGGAGTGTGAAGCGCTTTTCCACAATGGCGAGGTCTGGGCGAGACAACCGGAAGCTTCTCTGTGGTGTGGCCGTGGGCCTAGTTGTGGCTTTCTTCATCCTCTCCTACTTCTTGTCCAGGACAAGGACATGAGCCAGTGGAAGCTGGCTTCTGTGGATGCCAAGGACGGCCAGGTTTTCCCTGCCTGGTGTCCTGGGCTCCAGAGGACTTCCAACAAGAGACTCTTGAAATTACAGTCATGGCTTAGGGATCTTGTTCCTGTGCGGCAGCTGCAGCCGCCTCTGATCCAGTGTGCGCATGTTGGCTGGTCTCTTGTGTGGAAGGGAACCTTTCCCTTGGGGCCAGCCTCCCCCAACCCCACACGCTGGAAACACCAGCAGGGCTGGGGCCACAGCGTGTCAGGAGAAGCCAGGTTGCGCAGAGCAGCTTTTGCCTCCTGGATGTGGCCACCCATGACCGGCAGCCCTTGTCCCAGCTCTCGGGACGCTGATACTTAAGGCCCCTCTGTTGAGTTCTTGTCTGGGACAGGCCATGTCTGATCCGAGGTGCCCGGAACCGACACAGGAACAGACCGTGAACCCCAAGTGAGTGCTGTCCCCTCCAACTGAGTGTCCTCAGCCTGGAGACGGCAGTTATACTTGGCCAAGGTTGCTGAGTGTGGGCCGACCAGCGTGGGCCAAGAGTCCCTGCTGTGAGTCCTGTGTGCCTGCCCTCCAGTCCTGTGGCTGAAGCGAGGCCTTGGGGAAGACGGGCTGTGGCTGAAGGAGTGGACTGCAGGCCTAGCCTAGACACAGGGTCAGGGTCATGTGGCCACGTGTTCAGGAGCGGAAACCTACGTTCTCAGGATTCAGCATCTACCCAGCACCAAAGATGTATTCCCAGACCTAGAGACAGACCGGTCTGGCATTTCAGAGTTGGACGGCGTGTGCGTGGGGCGGTGGGGTTGGTGTGGGCTCAGACAGGGGGCTCCCGTGTGAGGGCTCTCTCCATGGGACCCCGCAGGCTGCCTGCTGAGTATTGTGGCCGTGCCGTTTGCCGGTGACTTCGGCCCCGCCACCAAGCCCTGCCCTTCGCCCTTGGCTGTGAGTGGGCTCCTCGTCCCCAGTGCCTGCAGCCTGCCCCGCTCCCACCTGTCCCTGGGTCCTTGCCGCCCACTGGGCCCGGCCCACATTCACACCCGCGGAGCCACTGGGCGGGCCGGGTAGTGACCTCCTCCCGCCTTGGGTGCAGTCCTGGCCTCTTTTCTTGGCGTAAAATCACCTTTAAACAAAGCCACGCAGCTCGGTGTCCTTCCTGCCCTTGTCCGCACCTTCTGCCCCCAGGCGCCCCCAAGGACGGCTGCCTCGCTGGCGGCACCTGCGCGGCCACACCCTGCATCCTGTCCACCCGCAGCTGCCTCTGAGCTCCAGGCTGACCACTGGTCGGACACAGCTGGTGCCTCTCAGTGCCCGCAGCCCCCCGCTCACTCTTCCCCTCCCTCCCCCCTTCCACACAGCAGGCCAGCCTCTGCACGCATGCTCCCCGAAGTCCACTTGGCCCCTAGGCCCCTCCGTCGCTCCTGGCTGAATGCCTCCGTCTCCTAGAGCGGAGGGTCTGCCGACTTGCTTCCTCCCCCGTCCAGGTCAGATTCACTTCACCCAGCGAGGCCAACTCACCTGCCTCAGGTCTTGGGTCTTGGCTGTTTCTTGGAAACACGGCGGGGCAGGGCGGGGGCGGGTCTGGGTTCCAGCTTGCCTCCCCCTCCTTGGATGTCCCTTTGCAGGCCCCTGGCATTCCTTGCACCCGTGTCCTGGTGCACCATGGCTTGGCTTAGCCTGTGCTCCTCGGGGTCTTGTCTGCAGGCCTCCAAGCGTGTTGGCAGATGCCTGCGTCGTGTTGCTGTCTGGTGACTAGACGGCAACTCCACATCCCCGGTTTCCTGGACTGTGTGGGCTGACCTCCACTTGGAGCGCCTGGCTGAGTTGTGGGAACCAAACCAGGTCCCGGGAGGCTCTTGCCACAGCAGTGCCTGCTCACTTGGTGCAGACTAGGAATGGGACTGCATTTCGGGGTGGCCTTCACTAGAGATGGTCTTGCCCTCTCTCTGAGATCCAGTCACTGCGCTCCCTGCCCCCAGGTACCTTGGTGTCTGGGGTGTCGTTCCTTTCTCGCTTGCTTTCGTTCCTCCTCCTGTGGGAGTCCCATGAAGGGGAACAGCAGTCCTGCCCCTGTGGTGGTAGAGCAGTCTCCGGAGGGGACTGGACCTGAACCCTCCGGCCAGTCCTGCACATCTGGCCTCTTGAGCGAGTGGCATTTGCTGACTGATCCTCAACACCAGTGAAGCAAAGAGCTCTCGGGGCACACTGTGAGGGCTGGGGCTGCTGCTCTGCCCAGTGAGGACAAGGTGCTGGGCAAACACCAGAGCCTCTAACCACAAACACTGGAATACACACAGCTCGTGAGGAAGCCATTGCGTGGTCTTTGTTGTCCTTGTTTCCGTGGGATCTGAGAGGCGTTTGTCCAGAGCGGACCCTGGCCCCCCGACTGGCCATGGGCACTGGTGGTGTAAACTCCCCTTGTCTGTCTTCGCCTCCGGGGAGGCCCTTGGCCCCTCATGTGCCACCGCAAGGCTGGCCCCCCGACAGGCTCACCCCTTCTTGCCGCCTGACCCTGCTCTGCCCAGGTTTCTGGAGCTCGGGTGGGGTGAAGACAGGGCTACCTCTTGGGGACGAGATGAGTAGCCGGGACGTGCTTCGGATGTGCGGCCTGCTGTGGTCACGGCGGGGTGGAAGGCGGCCTCTGTACTGTGCTTGAAGCTGGTGCAGTGACGCTCCCACGGCGTGTCTGACGGGGCCACCACCCTAAGTGACCCACCTGCAAGGCTGGTCTTGGGTTTCTGGGCAGCCCCTGGAAATGCCCCTCCTCGGGCCCAGAGGTCCGCCACCTTCCCTGCCCATGTCCTCCTTTTACTCCCTGTGTCATCTACGATGCGCAACAGATCACCGCAAGATAGCAATGACGACCTACAGCATGGGTGTGGTCAGACTTTGAGAAGGGGCATGGCCCGGAAGGCTGTCTTCGCTCAAAGACCACGCCTGGAGCTGCCATGGCCTGAGGGCAGAGGGCCTGGCTGGGCAACTGCCTGGGATGACACGCGTGGCCTTGCCTGCCTTGGGCTTGCTCGCAACATGGCAATCTGTGCAGCAAATGACCGTGGACACAGGGCAGAGGGAAGTCCAAGCAGGAGCCGTCTTTGTATGTCATGAGTCTGGCCTCAGAAGTCAGGTGGCATGGCTTCTACCACGGGCCATTACCCAGGGTGGTCACAGCCTCCAGTCCGTGCTCCCGGGGAAGGACACAGGACCCGCTGCTCAAAGGGCATGAGCAAAGGTGTGGTCATCTTCAGGGTTCAAGGCAGGGCATCAAGGGTCCAGGTGTGGGATGGGGTGTCGTCTCCCAGGCCCTCCCGTCTCTCCCCACACAGACCCTGGGCTCGCCCATCTTACGCGGCTGACTCCAGGCCTTAGAAACCAGGATGGAACCCCGCGTGGACCAGTGCTGGCAGCCCATGGGAGCCTCTTGCTGGAAAAGCTTGATCCATCCCCCAAGACAAACCCCTTACTAATGGAACCTGTGATTTATTAAATAATCTGAGCACAAGCAGGAAACAAGATTAGACAATGGGAAAGTAACCTAGAAAAAATAACTGGTTACAATTGTCCAAACAAGCGTTCCCTGCCCTGCAGGGATCCACGGTGGTGGCCCAGTGAATTTCTTTTTGTGGAACTTTTTTTTTGTGAGCCTGAGGGTGACAGGTGCAGTGGGGGCCGGGGCTATTCCACGTCGACCACCAGGGGCGTCATGTAGTCGGAGTGTTTGATGCCAAAGGTGACGACAGGGGCGCAGGGCTTGGTCAGGGTCACCTGCGAGAGGAGGAGCTGTCAGAGGAGCCCGCCACCCCTGCTGCCACTCTGCTCTAGCTGGCGCTGGGCTGCTGCCCGTCTGAACCTGGGGCAGGGGGCCCAGAGGCCTTGCGGCCGGCTTTGAACACGAGCCCTCAGCCATGTTGCTACAGCATCTGGGAGAGGCCGAGACCCTGCGGCTGTGTCCCTTAAGAGCCGCCTTCGGGACGCTGGAAACACACCGAGTGCTAAGGGGACCTGGTCGCCGGGACCCCCGCAGGGCCCAGGCCCTGCCCTCTCCCCCATCCCCTTGGGCTGTGTCCTCCCACCACCCAGCCCCTCCCTGGCTCTTCCCCTCACCCCCCTCTGGGCTGTGCTGTTTCGGACCTTCTCCGGACTGTGGGCCCCTGGTCCTGGCTTGAGGGTCTTGTCCCCTGGAGGCTCCACCCGGGCAGCCATGGTGTACTGTGGAGCCTTGAACTTGGTCACCTGCACGTCAGTCTGGTGGTAGGCCGCAGGACCTGGGGTCTGGGAGGCAAAGGAGACTCAGATCGGCTCTGCCGGGCATGTGGCCCCAGGCAGGGGCAGTGCTAGCCCACGGGTTTCAGGCCCCAAGTGACCAGGGCCAGCTGCTGGATGGAGCCAGCGTGTCGGGGTCCCCTCCACCTCTGTCATGCTGAAGAGACCACGCCCCTGCTTGTGGGCACTTTCTGTTCCTCAGTTTTGGCCTCCCTCTGTCGGTGACACCCCCGGCACGTGCCAGCCCTGGGAACTCCCCTGCGTGTAGAGAGGCCCCTTTCCAGTGGGGTCACTGTCCTGTTGGACCTGAGGGCAATGTCCTGGGCTGGTGAGCTCAACAGGGGACAAGCGCTGCCAGCCGCAGTGCTTCGGGATTTGCTGACTGTGGTCCAGTGCTGTGACACTGGCTTCTTATCTCAGGCCCCTCAAGCTGCCAGGCACATGCCCACCCCAGGGCCCCGGCACCGGCTGTTTCTGCGGCCAGACCCCTCCCCCGCCGCCCGACAGCTCAGGGCTCATTTCCCTCTCTTCTTCCTTCCGTGCTGCCCCAAGACTGCCTCTTGCCCTCCAGGCGGCGCTTGGCAAAGCCCTTGTCCACTTGTCCTCAAATCTGTCCCGTCTCCGTGCCAGGCCGGCCTCTTCCTTCTGGTCTCTCGCCTGCTCCTCCCGCTGCCGTCGTGCAGCCCCGCATGGGGCAGGCCCTCGGGGGAGGCGGG